GCTCCCGCGGAGGGTTGAAATCAACCCCCGAAATACATCTCCGCTAGGATCCTCGGCGTTCGCGGCACCGGATTGGTCCGCTGCAAGCTCCGCCCCGTGGGAACTCACCCCCAGGTTACCCTGGCCAGTCGGTCCGGGTTTTGAGCGGGCGAGGACTACGCTCCGATTCACGATATCCCTCGAGCGTTTCGCATTTCAATAAATTCCTATTCAGCGTTCTGCTACGCTGCACTCTTGAATCCAAGTAGATTGTCCTCGTGATGCTGTTCCTTTGCCTCCACGCTAAGCTTCGTAGGTTCTGGAAGAATTCGCTGCAATCGAGTGAATTCATTTCGAACATGGATGTATGAATTTCGGGGAAATAATAGCCATGTTTATGGTTCTTCGGTACTAGGTGTTACTTAAGGGGACGTTAATATTTGATTGATAATCCAATTTTCTAGCTTCTGGTACTAGGTACCTAATGTTTGGAGGTCAGTCTGACGGTGGAATTTATATGGTTCTATTCTGTAACTTTCAGGTTTTGCTGTAGTCACATTTCGACTGTGGATAGAGCAGATTATACTATTTTAATATTCAAATTCATAGTAACTAGAATTCAATAGAAACTAATCCGTTCTACCGAAGCTTCCTTCGAACTTCAATGAACAGCAGTCACGAAATATCTACTAAACTACACCAAATCTAAAATAATCTTCGCAAACATTGCAAACTTCAAAAATCCTCAATCCAACGATCATGCAGAAGCACTCTGCCAACTAGCGTCGTCGATCCAAGCAGACCTTCCGAGCGTTTGAGGCAAAAAGTTAGCCGAGGAAATAAAAAGGAACGAAGAGAACGAATCTTCCGTTGAACCCTCGACGCTTCTCGCGTTATAACGAAGCGACCCTCCGCCCGCAGTTACGATCGAAATTGATTTCCGTCTATGACGTCCGAAAGGATCATCGACTGGCGTCGTAGCTGGAGCTGGAAATTGCCCGTGGAGAAATCCCCGTCGAGGATCGGCCGGTGGTAGGGGTGGACTTGTCGCTCGGCCACGCGGGGTGAGCGCCTGGAATCCCCGCCCCCGGCGAAGATCCGCCCTCGGGTTCGAGGGTGCTTGACGGACGAAACGGCGCGCGGAGGTAGGGAACACTAGCCGTCAAGTGCTCGTCGAGGACACTCAAAAACTACAAGGAGAGCCCTTCAGCTGCTGCTGGAAGGACTCCTCCGCGTCCGTCAGTCGTTCCTCGACGTCTCGTCATCGCCAGGACCAAAGGAAAAGCCGACCGAAAACAAAATATCAGCACGAAGTTCAACGAAAACCTGGGACGTTTCTCGTGATCGTCGAAGTGTCAGTTGCAAACGGAACGGGGAAAAGGATAGGGAAGTTGTTTGGGATCCTTCTGGACTGTTCGCGTGTGCCTGGACGATGAGCTCGACAGGGCGAGCTGTCGCGGGGGGTCGTGAATGCGAGTGAACCGTGAGACCGAACAGAGTGATAGTGAGGACAGGGGCAGAGTAGAAAAGAGGACGAAAGTGGGACGAGTGAATTTGGTAAAGAAGGTACGAGAGAGATTAGAGAAACAGTCAAAGCAAAAACTATAACTCTGTAAGAAAAGAGAGAAAGAGAGGGAGAGAGAGAGGGAGAGAGAGAGGGGGATAGAGTAAAGTTCGTGAGTGAAGCAATTCGAGGACTGTCCGCTAAACATGTACTGACGCCACTAAACACCTCTCCGAAACCCTTTCAAAATGGCGGACAAGAATAAGATTCTGCCGTGGTCGCTGCTACCCTATCCGGCCAGTCTCTTTAATCACGTCTGGTACAGCCACCTTGCTTTCAATAATAGGTAAACGAACTAATAAGAAGAAAAAAACGAACAAGCGGAATACGAAACACGCGCAACACCGAGCTTCTTTCCAACCCGAGCTCCATCCACCCCCGTAGAGTTTTATTGACCAATTACGCGGACCGTATCTCCCCGCATGCGTTTCAGTTGGTGTACATTAATTCTTCTCTCGTGATTAGACACACGAAATAGTTAGATGTAGATCAACGGTGACCGTGTTCCCCTCGGAACGATATGTTTAATTAGATTCTACTAGATGAACTACGGTCTAGAACCGTCGCTGGAGACTCGCTTGTTCTTTGGCTTTTCAGTTTCGTCTTATTGTCGTTGTGTGTATTAGCCTTGTTTTATCGTGTTAATCGGTACAATGTATGTTTTTAATCTTTGGTATTATGACGCGATTGAGATTGAGTCGTGATCGAGCGTTATCGAAACTGACACCTTGGCCCGTCTTTGCGCCTTGGATCTTTAAATAATGACACCTTTGCAGCTGATAATTGAAAACGAGGATTCGAGTGCGTTCTTGTTGCATTCTTGTTTTAGTTGATTCGATATTGTTTCTAAGAGGGTAGTGCTTATATAGTATAGTTCAAAGGGTTTCAGTTTTCTTGTTATTATGCAGAAAATTGAAGTAAGAGTTGACTGGGTAGCTTCCTGATAATTCGACCGATAAAGCTGGCGTGTGGTAATCGTGATCTTGATAGCCCCTCGAATTCTTGCACGTGGCATCGGCGAGATGTACCGGGGCTTATCGAGACGTGTTTCCGCTCCATTATCGATATCCTTGACGGGGATCGCGTATACGCAACGTCGGTCCGTCGATTAAAATTTCCTCGATATATCCCTTCTTCTGTTTAAGAAAAGAAAACAAATAAAACATACGAAACGTAGCCTTATCTCTTACGATTTAATTGCGTGGTAGAGGCTGGTGATTTCAATGCTGGTTAGGAATTAATTGCTGATAGGGGCTTTATGTTATTAGGGAGTTCAGAAGGGGAATTAATCTCGAATATTTTCACTCAACAATTAAACGAACTTCCAAGATAAAAATTTCGATCAACAGAAGTTCCACGTTTTTGAACTTCGTATTTCGTTCGCTTAGGACTAGATAGCAAAGAGAATATTTAGAAAGTTCGTTGCACAACGGCGTGCGCGAAAGCGTAAAAAACTTTTTACTAAAAAATTTTCAATTTTCAATCTGCCCTGAAATGCATACTTCGCAGACTCAAAATGTGTAGATACCTTCGTCAAGTTTCATTAAAAACCTTCGCCTCGGTTCAGCTGTTAGGGACCAAATTAGACAGTTTTGGGGAACTTGCTTCGTTAATGTTTTCGCTGTTCTACAGAACTTCTTTCATTAAATCTTACATCGTTGCACGGGGTTGTAACCTACCAGAGAAACTCGCGAAGATGATGAAGTTCCACGGCTTAGTCAAAAACAGCTAACCCTTCCAGACCTGACTTTTGTACAAGATTATGTTCACATATCTAACAACAATGGACCGTCGTTTAATGCACCATCAGTAAGGATATTATTTCGAATAAAATAGTGGTAGTATGCTAGATACTTTTCTGATAGGAACGAGCTCATAGTAAAGGTGTATGTATGGTTGCCTTTCACAGTTGTAACTCCTTGCACTCGAAAGTCTTTTTATTAGAAATATTCAACATTTTCTGATGCGATATGGACATTCTCTGAAAACTAACGAGGGAAAATACATAAATTAAGGTACAAAATTATTAAACTTCAATATTTCACAGATTGTTATATTAAACGAAGCTTAATATTCTATATTAGAGTTTATTATCATGCTTTATCGAATCAAATAGTAACTGAGAGGCACCTTTCGAGTCCAAAGGGTTAATATTTTGTCAGATATCGAAGTAATAAAACAGTGTACACCATAATGTACGCCGGAGGTCTGAAGGGGTTAAACAACAATCCCCGACCAGTCAATCTTACGAAGGAATATCGTTTCTTTAAGGTCGATTAGGAAAAACTCCGCGCCAGGGAATTGTGTATACGTTGAAAAGCAGGAGTATGGCCGAACGTGCCGCGATAATGGGTCGTTTGGCTTAAACTGGGATGCCCGGGAGTCTTGCTTCTGTGTTAGGGGACAGGTTGTTTGGCAGGAAAACTGCAGGTGTCCCCGTGGAACGGCTGGTCCCTTGAAAATGCGGAAAAGACGCGTCTAATCGGGTCTTAACGGGCCCCGGTTGGCTTCTTGACGCTCGCCAAGCGACAGAACAACTTTGGAAATTGGATTGATTTGTTCAGAAACCGACCTTTGTTGCCCGACTTTTCGACTCGCGGAATCCTTCGTCTCCAAAGGCTAACGCCAGAAAGTTACCTGGTCTCCGAGGCTCTCGTTTTTCTTTCGTTTTCGTCTGGAAGAAATGTAGACCGCTTCCTCGGACACGGAACACCGTTTGTGCACGATAGAGCAGAGATTTGTTTAAATAGGCTGATTAGAAAAGAACTGAACATTTGACGAGATGGTTTTTCAACAGTTTTTTAAATAGATTTTTCGTGTATCGCACAAGGGTAAGCTAACTCTTTGCACTTGCCAATTCTCTTTCTTATAAATATTCATTATTCTCTGATAAAATATGAAAGATAGTTTTTGTCGCTGGCATTAAGAAAAGCCGTGCATTAGGAACTGAACTATTTTATAAAAGTGTTTTATTTGCTGATACGTTCTACAACAGTTAATATAGAATTTTTAATTTTATCATTCTGCTGCGTTGAATCTAATGGCGACTGGTAGTTGTCTTCCGAGTGCAAAGGGTTAACGCATTGTACGTCGGCTAAATATCAGCAAGTCTGAGCACCGGTGATTTTATTGATATATTTTTGAACGTCTGTCAAATCGACATTTTAGCTTGTCAAAAACAACGAGGAATACGATTTTTTAATTTTATTTTGAATTTGTATTGTTGCGTATGTAAGACGTTAAAATAATGAAGCAATTAAGCGACACCGGCGTTTACTTTATGATCAATGGTTGCTTGGGGTTTATTGTCATTGTAAGAGTTTAATGGGTTTCTGCTTTTTAAGCGTTCAGTTCTTTTCGAGTGAGCCAGTATTCAGTAGAATGCTCGATAAGTGTCAGTTAGTGAATTCTAATTTATCCAGTGTTCGTTAATGGGAATGTTAATGTTCTGTTGCAGAATATTGGAGAGTATAAAAATGCCCAGAACAAGTTTCCATATCCATGACATCCTGCAGCTCGATTCCAAGCCGTCGCAGGAGGAAACGGAGGTTCAAGGTACTTAAAACTGACATAAAACAATGGTCTTTTTTGTGAAACGAAAAACTAATAAGTCAAGATTCATCCTTTAACCCTTTGCGGTCGAATGCTGCCGTAACGGCGACTTCCAGCTTTCATATCTGAAATCAAAAGCTGCAGATATATCATTTTATTATTAAAGTAACGAGAGATTGATATGTAGTTTTCTTTTCTTCTAGTATTTAAGACTTCGATGGATTTTCAGTTATTTATTGAAAGAAGTTCGAAAAGTTTAGAAAATGCTTGTCTGCAAGGAGTTGACATTCTTGAATTTCACGACTTCTAAATCTGCTTTATTAAGCATTTTATTGTAAAAATTCATTTCCATTCCGAGACACTTCGACGAATCAACGATAAAATTAATCGAGAACTAACGATTGTTTCAAACTTATCTGTTACAGGTAACACGACGGTTCTACCGAACACGAACGATGTCCCGTCAGCTTATCAGCAGTTCTTCGAGCACACGACGGCCATGTTGCAACCCGCGTTATACGCGAATCTAAACAGAGGGACGTTACCACCGCCGCCACCTGGTCTCCTCGGATGGCCGGCTGGACCGACGTTACCTACTACCCTGCCTCAGCCCTTGGAAGAAGTGAATGGTGAGTAATAAATTAACTTTCTTATTATCCTCATAAAAATTCCAAACGAAAATTAAAGTAATCACGAGGGAGCCACAACTGTAGACAATCTGTTCATATTCCTTCCAAATGTTCAGGAAAATTACATTACTTATGAAAAATTTAAACCTTCTTAAAGTAAGGGGTGAAAATATTCAACCCTTCGAAATAAATGACAGATGAAACATTGGAAGAATATTCACTAGTGCACTTAAACATTCTTCAAAGTAATTTTACTTTCATTTCATACACCTTAAACTCAACATCCTTAAGGCTTTATTAAGAATTAAGCTATTTCACAATGCCCTAGATTATTAATCAAGGTTATACATCGTATAAAAACAATATTTACTCATCCATTGTATCTCATGTACGACAAGAAATACGTTAATCACAGAATGCTCTCTATTACAAAGTCTATTCTTTATACCCACGCCATTTCCATCGGTTAATTTCATCTCAGTTACCCGAGTTCTCATAAGCGGTCTCCTTCAACAATCAAAAATGTCCTCTCGACGCGACACAAGCACGCGATCCGCGTGTATATATCCGTTGATACAGAAGGGGACAGATTTCGGAACCCTTATTTATTTAACACCCTACAATTGGTCCGCGCCAGGCTAAGCAGGATCTAATGGTCCTATAAAAGGTCCTTGTGGCTCCTGCTCACCGATTGGCCCGTACATGGGGACAGATGTCCTTTCGAGGACAGATGCGTATCACACCGTGGGCCCTCGATGAATCGAAATCGTCACGCCCAAAAAATCCTCCGACAGCCTATCGTCTCTTTTCACTGATTCTTCCTTATCTTCGCCTTTCATTTCTTTTTTTCTTGCCTCCTTTCCCTGTCCTCAACCGCTGAAACCGAGAAATCAAGGATCGAACGATTTCACCCCGTTACACGCGTGAAAAACGGTGTTTCGTGGATTGTATCGCGGTCGTTAGAGCGGACAGGTAGCGAATTCGTTCCGATTTTCGGGGATACACGAGGGTTACCCCTAATCGATCCTTTGTGTCATTGGGTTTTACGTGGAACACGTTTAACGCCTCTGTGATTGTCATTTTGTCCATTTCTTTATAAACTGCAGTATTTTACTGCAAATTTTTAAGTGAATTTGGAATTGAAAGGTGATGAACAGTGCGTTAAAAATGTAATATTTTAATGAAGTTTCTATGTTTATTTACTTCGTTACTACATTTGATTGTGGTATGATAATAAATCAGAATAACTACTAAATTAGAATACTACTTTTCTTGTTATCAATCTTCAACCCTTCTCTTTCTTCTAGAAAATTATTAACGATAAAATAGAAGAAACTTGAAAGAAGAAAATCCAAGTAAAACGAAGGGGTTAATAATTGTCGGATAAATTCCTTCAAATATGTCGAAATCACTGTGATGTTTAATTGAAATCACGACTGCGAGTCGTAGCCTAATCTCCCATGAAAATGATACAGTGATGGTCCCATGGGGTTGTCGCAGTAGTGGGGTGGTATCAAACAGACTTTATATTGCTTCACACCCTCCCGAACCGGCCGCGGGGTTGCTCACAAAAGCGTTATTGTGTGCCCGCTAACACAGGGAATTCGTCGTTGTACATTAAATTAGCGTGTCTACCGGCCACCGTGGTATTTGCCACTTTAACACGAGGCTAATCAAAATATTGGTGGATTAAGCCGAGCACAATAATCCGAATCGTCGTACGCTACCGCCGATTCAACGTAATCTAAATTGTATTCCTGTTTTCTTACGAAACTTCTATTTTCAACGTTATCATTAAATCAAAACAAAAATTTCGAAAATGTTCCCAATGATCTTTTCATCAATTCAAAATTTTGAAAATTGTCTGCACTGTAAACTGCTTGAAGAACAAATCACGTCATTACGAGGATGACTAAAAAGAACTGCAGCTGTACTTTACCGCCCTTCGAGTCTTAATGCTGATTGCAGGCAGATGTAAGCCGGTATTGATTTCTTAAGTCTTGCTGGCTCACTGCTCATCGAGAACATTGTACACCGGAGCTCATAAGCGCTAGGATAGCGGTAATCACGGTTCATTTAACATTTCCCATTATTTTACACTTCATTGTCATCGTTGTTTGTGATATTTCGATTTATTCAAATTTTACAGAAACTTCAAGAGTCCGCAAGAATATTACTTATTTATGAAGTGGTGTCGTTACTAAAATACAAATAATTCCCCAATATTAACCTTAGAAGTATAAAAGACAATAAATACATATTCCCAGTACTCTACACAAGATCTTCAAACTTTTTCTTATTCTATCTATATTAAATGCAACGAGTCTGTATGCAATAAAGGCAAATTATTAATATTATTCCAGTGCTCCAGCAGCCGGACTCCACCAGCCCGACGATCTCTGACCTGTCCTTCGCCCCGAAACAAGAGACCAACCACGAGTGTAAGGAGGAAGAATCAGCGGACTTCGAGGACGAGCAGCAGAACAACGAGACCCAGCCCCACGAAACCGAGCACAAGAAGCGAAAACGGCGGGTGTTGTTCTCGAAAGCGCAGACGTTCGAGCTGGAAAGACGTTTCCGTCAGCAGAGATACCTGAGCGCGCCGGAGAGAGAGCATTTAGCGTCGATAATCCGACTGACGCCGACGCAGGTGAAGATCTGGTTCCAGAATCATAGGTACAAGACGAAGAGGGCGGCTACCGAGAGGGTTGAAGCTGGCGGAAGCGGATGTTCGCCTAGAAGAGTCGCCGTGCCGTTACTAATTAAGGATGGCAAGCCCTGCCAGTCGAAGCTGATGGAGCCAACAGCGTATCCTCCAGCTGGACAAGTACCAATGCCACCCTACATGCAGAAATCTTACTGGTGGTAAAAAGAAGCTGTCTAACTCGCGTGAACGTCTCTGAATGATTGTCGTTGACACTGGAACGTCTAGGTAGCTGTAGATTAGCTGATGCGACGAGGATCGGAAGCTTCTTGGTGTATTGGCGAATATTTAACACATGGATGAGAAGCTAACAGACCTGGCTACGATGACGATTTGAAGGCAAGTCTATCGGTTGTTGATGTTCCTACGGTGTTTGAAGAATGAAGAGGTGAGATGAAGATTGTAATGGGAGTGAGTCTTTGTTAGAAAGATCATGGATGAGTTGACCGAAGAATAACCTTCGCGTACAATCGAGCTAAGTGAATCATCCAAGTTGAGTTGCTTGAACAGTGTCAAGTAAACATCACACAGATACAAGTCTGGTATTTCCAAAAGAGTTATCAGGCTCTGAGTAATATCAGAGTCGAGTGATTTGTGCAGATAACTCTGGTTCCACATACGGGAGCGTCGACGAAGTTGTTTCGGGACAATCAAATGGACACTAGTGCATCAGTCTCAGCAAGATAGTTAATTATCAATCAATACTGCTAGTTTAAATATCGTTCATCGATACCGACAGATGATAGAATCTAAAAATGCCGATCAGAAAGAACTGCAATGATCATCTTGCGTTGGATGAACTGCCAAGACGAAGCTTTCGATGTATTCTCGTCGATGACCAATGATCCTGCGCGCTAACGTTAATGAGGAAAACGACGATCAACGCGAAAAAACGCAGAGACCTCTGTACAACTTGTATTGTGAGAGAAAAGTGTCGTTTAGAAGGACTTTATGGTGATCGGACAACGACGACAAGATGGCGGGTCGCGACGGAGGGAGAAAATGGCGCGGGTTCGCGCGATACCAAAGATAGCTCGCGATCACGGTGAACATAACTGCCGGACGAGTCGCGGGAAAGTGATCTAGCGCAAATAAAATAGATAAGTTAAATCGAGATACGTAGAGTCGTTAGATAAAGTAATTCACTGTTCAGAAGTTGGTAGATATTTCGTTTCTCCGTTCTCTTTCTTTGTACAAAATGGTCGCCCGTAGCGTGGGCATTAGTTGGTGTAGCGTGTGTGTGTCGAGACGTCGCGTTCGTACTTTTAAAACGTAACTTTTTCCAATCGTAATTCGTGTCCATGATGACCCGTGCGAGGGACAAAATAAAGGGATAGTCGAGCGTTTCTCTCGATGGGAAGAGAGAGAAAAAGAGAAAAAGGAAGAGCCATGACGATTGTTTGTCGCTTATGTAACTCGAACACCTCGCTTTCTATCAATCTAATCGCGATAACCAGATAAAAAACGATAAAATACAATTTCTCTTCGGACGTAGCAAGAAATCATTTTACGGAGAATAATTGTTGAACAGGTTGATCAGAATTTTGAACGTTTCGAGAACGTTTGAGGCGTTCGAGTATGTTCCCCACTGTAATTTCATTTCGATGTTCGTTCCGGTAACATGTGAAATAAAATAGTAGAATTTTCAAAACTTCACTGGCAAACTATTTCGTAGCTGCCCACGACGTTGTTGATTGTTTAAATTATTGTTAGAACGCGTTTGTCTATGTTCAAGAACTCTTGTGAAATAACGAATTGCCAGTTTTTCGTTTAAGTTACCTATTGAAACGAGCGATTATTTTATTCCGAGCGCGTCATTCGTGTTAATTGGGAATCTGTTTGGAGTCACATTGTATAGATGGTATATCGTGGGTGTAACACTTGAACAGTTGATAAAGAGATCCCAGTTTATCGCCTTTAATTAGGTAGGTTGTATATATGTACATTATGTATAATACATAGTAGGTCTAATATATCAGATACATATTTAATAAAATCGAATCTTAAGCGAATAAATAATCTTGTTTCTTTACTTAAACATTTTAATACCATAATCGAACGACTTCAATATTTTCAATTCTTTTTATTCATATCTTTTTGTTTATAATTATTTAGTTTGAAATTCAATCTTAATTTGCGCTAATTATAACTTGCTTCGGATAACAGTAAAATAATAATATCAATGTTCGCTGTTAACGCGATCAAACAATATACTCGAGACAGTGTTCTCCCTTTTCCAGCCCTTCGTCCCTTTTTATTTCTCTCTTCGACCGTCCCATAACGTTTCCCTTTTTCGGGACACGCCGGAAGCCGGTGTAGCTTGAGTGACAAGCTTCCGGTTTCCGTTTCCGAGCAGCCATCTTGTTACCGGTTTAGATTTCCTGAGGGCGTCCTATCCAGCCTCGATAGGGAGCGCATTTCGACTTCTGTCAAAGACTTTTTAATGATCGCTGGAAAACTTTTTCATTGTTTTTCGAGTATGACAACGAAAGATCGAAAAGGTATCTGTCCCGTCTGTATTCGATTACACAGTGTGTGTAAAAATATCTAAATGTGCAACGAATAATCAAATTTACGTAATCGAACAGGAAAGTAACACGTATATACTTAATCAAATGGGTATCTCAATTTTTTTAAGTAAAAATCACTGTTGACGTATATTTTATTTGGAAATAGGCTCCCCCGAATACGGACGCGATAAGGATAGATTACATATTGAATAATACACCCTGCACACCATTCCTGATCAGTCACACGTACCCAATAAAGACGGCATACGTCGTTGAACGTGTTTACGCAAGTATCCTTATCAGGAGACACTTTCTTTCTGGCGATCGACAATTATCGGTAGACATTCAGATCGAGCAGATTACGTAGATATTAGGTGTTTCATATTTATTTGTGGCGTTTTTACGCTTTTTGGCGAATTATCGCTGTCGTTATGAAACTCTTGAACTGTTATGAACAATTCGTCCTATTATTGTTATCGATTTCATAACACGATTGCAGATGAGAAGCATTAACTGGAGTGTTGCACGAATATTACACGAAGAATATTATATTCTTCTTTGTTTAGTGAAAACATTGATATAGATAGTAAGGTTCTATCCAATACTTGTTCTTATTAGTTCTGAATCTGCTGAAGATGGTAAAGGAATTAAAATATTAAAATATTAAAATATTAAAATATTAAAATATTAAAATATTTAATATTTAAAGTTCAGCAATCTACTAATTAAAGAATCTTTAATTTAGGATAAAACGACCACAAATGATTTTCGCGTGTTCGCCCCTATACCTCCTTTTGCCCTTAATTATCATTAGAAATCTTCTGAGCGAGTCAAACGCGACGCCTACAACGGAAGATTAAAAGATTAAATCTACTGATCAAAGAATCTTCATTACAAGATAAAACGACGATGACCAGCGACGATTCCCGCGTTTTCGCGGTACATTCCGCCGTTTTCATCCCCATCCGTCGATCCCTTTCGCGGCAGTTATCTTCCCCGGGGGCCGACGGGTAACGAGAGAGATGACGTAGCGAGGTAAATGGAGTGGACAGCGGGCAGCATATGCTTTGTGCTCCGGGTCCTTGTATAAAACGAAACCACCCCAACGAGGAATACAGGACGACGGCGGCAGTGGCTGCGCGCGGAACGTCGCGTCGTCGGTGCGTCGAACCGGAAGCGCGAGATAACATTCAACCGGCTAGCGGGCCAGCCAGTGATTTATACGACCGGCCGTAATCTATAGAGATTTGGACATAGTCCGTCGACTTTCAGCCCGGTGCTCGCCGGCCCGGACCGAACCGAGGAAACGCTTCGTCGACGAACGGTTTCCCCGGTCGGGCCATCGAGCTCCGTCCTCGAGAAACCGAAGAAACGAGTGGACCAAGAGGAGGAGGAGAAGGAGGAAGAATAGTTGGTTGACGTTTTGAAATTGACCGGTCGTTGCGGAGAGAACTATCTAGGTAAGTAATCTTCTTACTCTTTTCTAAGTGTTCATCATTTCTGAAGTTTTCTTGGTTTCTTCAGTTTTGTGTTTCTATTTATTTTTGAGGACGTTGTGATTTTAATTTGTTTTAATAGGAATTTTTGAATGTTGTGTAATATGTGAATATAATATTTGAGGATTAGGTGTATGGAGAGATTGGATAGAGCAGAAGGAAGGGACTCCATAAATGTTGTCTCGTATGCGTATTTTAGGTGCTGAAGTGATCGGAACTGAAGACCTTGAAGTTAAGATCTCCGAGTTAAAGATTTTGGTGTTGAAGATCTGGAAGAAATTGAAGATCTTAAGTTGTAGATTGACATTGAAGATCTTAAAGTTAAAGACCTGGAAATTGAATAACTTGTACTTATCTGCAGCTCTCCAAATGGAATATTTTCAAGTTGAAGATGTCCAAGTTGAGAATCTCAAAGTGAACAATTTCACAGTTGAAGATCATCTAGTTGAGAATCTCAAAGTGAACAATCTTGAAGTTTGAAACCGAAGATCTCGAAGATCCTATAACTACTTAAGAAGAACTTTAAAGAGAGCACTCTTGTCCTCTTCATACCTTCAATAAGTATCAGTCCAAGGACAAGGGAGAGCAGTCGAGAAAAAATCGGGGTCCAGCCGCTGAGGTACCAATCAATGAAAGGAAATAAATTGATAGTTTATCGAACGGCGGGACGTCCCCTAATATTTCCGAATGTAATCGAGGGGGTGTACACGCACTTCGCGAACTAAGGAAAAAAAAAGGAAGAGAAAATAGTTGAAGTGAAAGGGAGCACGCGGATGGACAAGAGCGACGTTCAATG